GTGTTTTGGCATTCTGTATCCTCAACATGCGCATGTTGAGGATACAGAATGCCAAAACACTGACAGGATGCAACTTCTCACTACTGAATTTGTTTTTTGCTCCCACAATTAAAACTGTCGAAAATGAAACTTTAGTTATGGGAGCAAGAAAATCCAGTAGTGAGAAGTCACATTTTGTGGAGATGAAATGAATCTTAGTAGAAATGATGTAGCGGCGCTATTCACATTACTCTAGATAGCTTTGTGTGTGCATTTTTAAAGCCGTAGGTTTTTTTTTTTTTCGTCATTTGTATAAGAATCGGAGCTTTTAGCACTCCTTTACACGAAATTACACTATTTTACAGCACAGTTGATGGAGGTGCGCTTCATAAACGAACTGACATTCAAACCCATTAACAATGTCATCCAAATTTCAGTATGTTCAGAATTGTTGCAGATCCCGCTCCGGTAAGCGCTCCACCGTTTGGTGCAATTCCGGTGAATCCGTTTGGAAATTTCGCTGCTCCTCCGCCATCGCTTTACGTGGGTACTGATGTTGCGAGTCCAGTAATTGCTCCACAGCCAACACCGACCAGCTTCTATCTTATACCGGCCGCTGCAGCTGGTTCGTTGGTAGTTTTGAAAAAATACAGTCATTTAGAGAGACTAGTGGTACATCGCCTCAATGTTGAATCTTTGATTATCGATGGTGGCATGGAGAGGTTTAACCTCCTGTCTAAGTTTTCCATTCTTAAATTAATGCCTGCATTTTTCCTACGTGTCAGATTGCGAGAAAATGGTTTTGGCTTCTAAGAATTCCACAGCTACGCTTTTCTTGATCAGGAAGTATATGTGCCACATTCTGCAGCTGAAGATTACACGAAAACTGCATGACAGTTGGCGCACATTTTATGAAATCCGTGACTTCCTTAAAATGTTGAACGAGATACCTGTTCAGTACTATCGTGCTGAGGCAAAAACGGACGGTTGCGTAACCTGTTTATATCCAAAAAGAAAAGCAGAAGAGCAAAACTACTGGAACGAGAAGTGCGTGGTGTGTTTTTTCGAGGTCATGTAAGGAATCGGATTGTCCGTCTGATGAGCAACGTATAAAAAAAAAATCGTATTGCAAACATGCGAGGAAGTGAAAACCGATAGACAGGACATATCTAACGAAAGCAGGAGAGCGAACGCTAACTGTATTGGAGAGGGCGTAGGAAGCTCGTTTGTCTCCTCGTGATCACATGAGCAGTTGAACTCGTCAGATGATTAGCAAAAGTGATTTCATTGCGATTGAACGGGAAAGTAACATCGGCGAGCAGTTCGTTTTGATAATAATCGGTGGATTCCAAACACTGGTGAGTAGCGTTTGTGAGCTAACAAAAGACTTTTTGTGCAGCCTCCGAAAAGATGGCACATTTTTACCAAACGGCGGTAAACTGTGCATCTCGGAATTGAACGTCTGGCCAAATTGCCTTTAGTATGTGATAGCTCTCCACTAACCTGGAATATTCTCGTTGTTTGTCAAGGAAGCCTTGTATCTTGGTTTGTTTACGTAAATGTTCGCGAAATGGGGCAACAGAATTTTTGCTGTTGTGGATAAAATTTTGAGTGGATAAAATAGAGTCGATAAAATTTTTTTTTGCTGTTGTACATGTCATTTAGTCGAAACACTGGTGTAATAATGTTGATCCGAGTACAAAAAAGTTAAACACCAAAAAGAAGAGTGCTTTTTCAGAATTGTGGAGAAATTCCGTTGTTAACTCATTAGAAATCATCAAAATTGTGTCAAGGAAAAGTTGACCGTGAACCAAGCTGTGCTAATGCATCTAAGATCCAGAATTCATTTGCGCAGCTCAAATTTTAATCCTCACAATCGCCATCATCTGTATTTTTTGGTGCAGGTGGCTGGGCACGACCAGTAATCGCCCCAGGAGTTGTCCCGCCCGGCAACATTTTGCCGCAGTTAACGCCGATCGACGTGGAAGCCTGGGCAAAAGCTAACAAACAGTTGCAACAAACAAAGCTCAAAGCAAAGACACCGCAGAACCGTGTCCCACAGCTGCGTGAAGAAATGGTCATACGCAACAGCGATTCTGGAAAAAGTACTTGTTTACTTTTGGTGTGCGCTTCGCATCATTGCTAATGTAGAGTTCTTATTTTTATGCGTCTTTGTGCGTTTGTGCAGGTGCAATCCAGCCTGCAACGAACCAGGCTTGTCGGTACGATCATGTGTTTTTGCGTTAAACCTGAAGTATTCAGGACTGAATAGTTCCTGCGTTACAGTTTAACAAGTGTTCGTTGTGCTTTTTGGTGTTTTTTTACATGTAGGGAAGAAGAGCGTTGGTTAGGGTGGTGATGTTGCATTATGGGGCCACGTGAACCTCCGGCTTGCACGATTATCAATTTTGCATGAAGGCATGTTGTTTTTCGGTGAACGGTCTTTCATCCAAAAATTCATAATTTGACAATGCAGAAAATGTCGAAATATAAGGATTCTTAATCCGCAAACGCACTCGTTTTTGAGATGAGGTAAAATTAAGTATTTCTCATGTCCTTGTGACGGCAGTTTAACTTATACGCTGTATTTAGATAAGTACAGAATATCATTGCAAGGAATATCCTTGCCACTTTGCTACAAATATCTTGGAAATGCCCTGTCACAAGCCCAAATCGAGACTCATTTTATTTATGCTATTTCCTAGACAGACAATAAATATACTGACAAGTCTTTAGATGCTGCTTTTCGACTGGGGTTTTCAAGCTGGCATGCTGCCAACTGCAAACTAGGATGTGTATGTATGCGTGGCATAAGCGTGCTCGATAGCTGAATTTGAAATCTTTAACTCACACATGGATAGGGAATATCCATGGAAATTTCAGATTTCAAGCTTGTACGTTTCTCAAAGTCATTTTCTCGTCATAAAATCTGCATGTTCTTTTCGGCGTCTGCAGGTGAAATCCAGACGTGCATGAGGGGCATTTTCAGGTTCCAAGGATGAGATACGTATGCTGAAAACAGATTCGCAAAATTCTAGCCTCCCCGCTTTCCCAGTTGCTAAGTTGAAAGTAGGTGATAAAATCCATTCGCTCACACAAAAACACACACAGGCTTCCACACAGACACAGCGCAAGCGTCTTAGCAATGCGCATTTTGCTCATTGCATTTGTGTATGTTTGTATGTTTTATGTGTATACAACTGTTCGGTTTTTTCAACTGAGCTGCCAGGCAAGCTTAGATGTTGAAATTTTGCCAGTGGTTACCTGGCTAGGTGCGACCGCAGGTACATGATATCAAATTTTTTGCCTGTCTGAGCCTCGCATATAGATATGTGAAGGTTTTGGGGGAAAGTAACTAGCGCGTTAGATCATTTTCAGTGGGCGACCGTTCACTAAAAATTTTTCGTTTCCTTTCGTTAAAAGTTTCTTGTAATCATGCTTCCTGTGGTGCCGCATCACCGTCTTAGCCGATGCCTTTCCGGCGCATGCGGGAATTGACCAAAATATTGCCTAAATGAATGCGCTTGCTTGAATGCAAAGCAGCAGTTTTTATGTGTTTTTTGCAGCTATGCAATGCGGAAAACGCATATTGACGAGAAGTTGTTTGTGT